GGCCTCGGTCAGGAAGGCGTACACACCATGCCAGGGCAAGGATGGCCCAGGCTCGGCACGGTGGTGGTGTATAGATGATTTATGCGTATCTGAGCCACTCTTCCGCAGCCTCGCTCCACCCGTCAGGCTGATGCGGCGCTCAGTTCACTTGGCCACTGGCCAGCATGTAATCTGACGCTTCGTGGTGCGCACACGTCGCTGCGACCAACAACAGTTGTTTGGACGAGCTCGGCCTCAGCAGCCTTGGACATACCCCAACTCTAGGATAGGCCTCGCATCATCTCGATGCCACTCTTAAGGATTCCCTCAGTTTCTGAGGGCGCGTCCCTAATATTGTCATCGCGCTTTGGCTTGTCGCTCTTAGGGACAGGAATACTTTCGAGGCGGGTTATGCTGGGCCTCCGGGAGAGCCTCCAGGAGTCTCCGCGGGCACCTCTGGAGAGCTCAAGAGAGGCGGAGGCAGGCTGGCGCGCTGCGTGCTACGGGGCTCAAGAGACGGGGGTAAATGCAAACGGGGGTCAGTCAGAGCGCTGGATCTTGCAGGATCCTGCAGAGCCAGGGGTGCATTGACCTGGGCTTGGGCGCAGGACCCTGGAGGATCTTGCACGATCATGAAAGGCCTGACTGACCCGGGTTTGGATTGACCCGGGCCAGTAGGTGGGCGGCAGGCCCAGCAGCCCCCCTTCCCCTCTATTCCCCTCCGCACCCCTCTCATCCTGCTCCTCTCCCAGCCCTCGAAGCACCAACAAAACCCGAGCAAGCCTACACTGTCGGAGGCCCGCGTGGATGTCTTGCAGCGGCGCCGGGGCGCCTCTAATGGCGGCGCCTCCGGCGCCGCCCCTGCCGCGCGCTCCGCGCGCCCCCGAGAGAGAGGGGCCCCCCGTGCAGCTCCAGGAAGTCCACGCGGGCACTCGGAAAGTCTTTACCATGCCCATGTGCTCGTTGCTCCCCCCGCTTGCCCCTTCCCCACCCCCCTCTCTCTTGTGCCGTGGCCACGCGGGGAGCGCCCGCCCCACGCCTGCGCCACTCCTGGCCGAGCCGGTCCTGGGCCGCAGGCAGGTGTGTGCGTGCGTGCGCGGCCAGGGGGGGCCAAGGTCGGTGCGCTTCGTGGTGTCGGCGCCGGCATCCCGGCATCCATTCTGCCGAGGGGTGTCGGGAGCCTAGAGACGGGGGTCAGTGCAAACGGGGGTCAGCCAGGGCACCGGATCCTGCAGGATCCTGCGAAAACCGCCTCCGGCTGACCCGGGTTAGCGAGCCGCTCGTGGCCGCGAGGCGGCCGCACACATTGGCTGACCCGGGTTTGCGAAGACCTGCGTTGCAGTTTAGTTGTCCTGCATTGCAGTTTTTGGTTTCTTGCTGACCCGGGTCTGGATTGGATTGACCCGGGTCAGAAGATCCCCGAGGGTGCGCGGCAAGTGGTGCTCCCTTCTCTGCCCCCCGCGATCGTGCAAGCTGGCCACATGCTGCGCTGCACGCTGCCGGGCACGCACCCCGGGGAGGGCCACCAGGAGGCCGTTCCCAGGAAAGGGGGGGATGGGGGATATGGACGAGGAGGGGGAGCAGGGAGGAGGAGGTGGAGGTGGAGAAGCTGGCGCAGAGAACAACAAGATGAGGAGGATGAAGAGGATGAGGTGGATGGCAAGAATAACGAGGATTAGCGGGAGGAGCCGGAGGTCAAGAGGGGGTTGGAGAAGTGCGGGAGCAGGACACGTTGGAGTTGTTTTTTGAGGTTGATTTGGGCGTCTAGCGTGTTGGGGAGGATGAGGAGGAGACAGATCTGGACGAAGCAGAAGAGAAGGACAGCCACCAGTGCAAATCGTACGTTCATTGATGATGATGCAATTGATCCTCCTGTCCCAAAGTAAGATTTGTCCGAATCCCTGAGTACTAGTACTCCTCGCCCACGGGCGCCCCACAAGGCTTCGTTATTCAAACAAGAGCCTTGTTTCGAACAGGAACGCACATCAACCGTGATACTGTTGCTTATCGATGGCATATCGGGTCAGCAAGCGGAGAAGGCCCCAGTCGAGATTTGATTCAAATAATGAGCCACATCCCATCCGTGCAGCTGCTGCACTGTAACAAGCTCGGGGGCATGAACATCTAGGGAGTCGAGCGAGAGCTGAGGTTGACGGCGACCCGCCTTGCACTGGTATAGCGCCGCCAAGGCGGAATTGGAAATGGCATGCCCCCCCCCACTTTATCGTGTAGTTGTTACACCTCCATCCCGAATGTTTACAACTGCGCGCTCCCCAACCAGTGCAACGTGTAATTGTTGGAGAGACGAATCAAGCCTCAGGATTTGTTGTGAGGACGTCTCGGGCGAAACTCCCAGCCTGCCCAGGATCGCGGGTGGGTCACGGTTGGGTCGCGGGTGAGTCGCGGGGTGGGTCGCGGGGTGGGTCACGGGTGGGTCGCGGGGTTCTCGCGGGCGGGTCGCGGGCGAAGACGACAACAACCACAAATATCATCCATGCCGCGGAATCCTTTTGCATCCATTCCCCCCCACTATGGCGCATCATCTTCAAGCAGCTCCTTGCTTGGGCCCAGCCACCAGCCCAAACGGCGAGCATGAACCGGGCGTAGCTTTGTCGAGCTTGTCAGGGTGCTTCGAAGCCGCCCAAGTGGCACGCCATAGATTGCGCGATCCATGAGTTGAGCAACAGGTTATGCCTTCCGTGAATTACGCGATCATTGGGTTGTGCCATAGTTTGCACAGTCCATGAGGTGCGCCATCCACAGTTTCCGCCATGGGCTGCGCCATGCTCCATCCGTGGGCTGCGCCACAGGATGTGCACTCAGCGAGCGAGAGAAAGTTGGCCTGCTATTGCGCTCTCTCCGCGTGCGATGCCACAATGGCCTGCTGTTGGTTGCGCCATAGGTTCGTACCTCGGCGGCGATATGAAAACGGCCTGCTGTTGGTCGCGCCGTCGGCTGCGTCCGACAACAAAGTGGTCCGCCTGCCGTGCTTAGAGCGACCTGTTATTATCCGTTGCGCCATAAGTTGTTCACTCGGCTTCCGAGAATTACACGGCCGCCTAATGGGTGCGACCATGCAGTGAGGCAGTCAGCCCAGCGCACCTCACAGATGTATTGGGTCGACGCTGGCCCCCTCGGGCGACGGGGGGGAAAGGTCCAGTGCCGACAGACGTGTCCGCGAGGACCTCAACCATACCATGCCCGAAAACAGTGCTTGCACTTGTGGGCCCGCTGCTCCCGATCCTGTCGTAATTGGCTGGGTCTGTCGAGGTTGGTGGGCGCCTCGTGCGCCGGCCGCGTCACCCGAGGCTTCGCCTGGTCGGCAGCTGTGGGCACTTCGTGGGCGACCCGTGCGCTGGCTGGGTCTCTGCAGAGGTCTCGCCCGGTGGGCCGCCGCGGGCGCTTCGTGGGAGCCCCGTGCGCTGGGTCTGCCGAGGGGTTTCGCTCGGCCGGCGGCCGTGGGAGCCTCGTGGGCCTCTCTTGCTGCGTGCGCCACACTGCGTGCGCCTCCTCGCTTGCACGTTTCCGCTCGCGCCACATGGCTTGCAATGGGACGGTAGCTCTCACCATACAGCACTTTCCGCCACACAGCTGGTACCACACTCACACAGTGTGCGCCACGGTTCTTGCACGACATGGCTTGCTCCACATACATATTGCACCGCATCGCTTGCAGCGCGCAACGGTTGCTCCACACAGGCTGCATCACATAACTTGCACACCCAGGGTGCAGGAAGTCACTGATCGGAGGCCACGCTGAGAAGCATCGTCTTGCAGCTTTTGTTCTTCTGAAGCCCGAGTCGGGCGACGTTCACGGACCGCCTCGTCGACCCTGACCAGGCCTTGGCTGTTCCTGGGCTCAGGATCCCGGCTTGGCCAGGCAGGGCGCTCGCACCCGGCCCTCCGACGCCCAGGAACGACGGAGGCGCTCGGCCGACGTCCCGCGGGAGGCGGGGGAGGGGGGCAGAGCGAGGCCGTGCTCGTGCGCAGCAGCACGGACGGCACGCCGCTGTTCCAGGCGCGGGTGCAGATCGGGAACTCGGAGGCCGCGCCGCCGCGCGGGGCCGCGCGGGACGTCGCCCCTTCGCGCCTCCCCCCCGTCCCCCCCCCCCTCCCTCTCGGAGGGGGGGGGAGGAGGAGGAGGAGGAGGAGGAGGAGGAGGAGGAGGCGGAGGAGGAGGAGGAGGAGGAGGAGGACGAGGAGGAGGAGGAGGACGAGGAGGAGGAGGATCAGGAGCAGGAGCAGGAGCAGGAACAGGAGGTGGAGGAGGAGGAGGATGAGGAGGAAGAGGAGCAGGAAGAGGAAGAGGAGGTGGAGGGGGAGGAGGGAGAGGAGGAGGAGGAGGAGGAGGAGGAGGAGCAGCAGCAGGAGCACGAGCACGAACACGAGCACGATCAGGAAGAGGAGGAGGAGGAGGAGGAGGAGGAGGAGGAGGTCCGTAGTCATTTTGGCTCAAGGCTAAAGGTTGTGAAGGGCTATAGGCGCCCGGGGCCCGGGAAACAGCGATTATCTTTGCGGTCTTTCAGTCGGCCTCTCTCGAGAGAGCGATTCCGGCCTTTAGGAGGCCATCCAGTCGCCTTTCTGTCTCGCCTTTGTTTGGGTGCCGTGTACCAGCGTAGACAGGCGACGATGGCGCGCCTGGGGGAACACGCTCTCACTGCTGCTCACAACTTGGCGGCCACATTTCCGACACAAGAACGTCGTGGGCAACACATGCGCGGACCCGATGATGGTCCAGGCGGCTTTGGAACGCCCTCTCGCCGTCGTGATCCAGATCTTGGTGATGATCGCAGCCGCTCTCCTCATGACGACAAGGGCGGCCTCTCACGCACCTCAGGTGACCTTCGCCATTATGGAGTCGATCGGCAAGCTGCAGTTCTTGATGGGAGATAACGCCAAGACTGCGCACACCTCCTGCGCAGCTCTCAGCCACCAGGTGGAGACCAGGTTCGCCGAGGTGGAGAAACGCCAGAGGAGCACCGCCGACCAAGTGCAGCATCTCACCGACAATATCGACAGGCTCGAGAAGATACTCGGCACCATGCAGACCGTGACCTCTCCTGCTCCCATCACAGATACCTATTTTGACAGAGAGCCGGACACAGCTATCCTTGTCATTCGTGCGAAGTCGATGTTCGCAGAAGGTCATGTGCAGCGCGACATCGTCTCCCCCATTCTCGAAGATCGTACTATGCAAGCATCGGAGACTGCCCTGGAAGCGATCTTGCTGGGAAGGGATTTTGCTTGCGGTGCAATGGTATTCCAAGTTGCGCCGCCAGGAAAATTCGTCTGAGTCTGGCCATTAAACTTTCGGCATCTAGTGGAAGCGCTTCAGAACAACGGGCGTGTCGGGCCTTAGCACAGAAGTGTTCATTTCTGCCGACAACTATCAGAAGCAGGCGCAGACGGATATCCTCACGAATCAGCTCAAGGCCGCGATGTCCAAGCTGTACCCGTCACATCACTTTCACCTTCACAGGCAGCGGGTCGAGGTCAGTACGCAGTTGAAACCTCTTGTGCGTGCGACGCCGACCCAGGGCACCGGCAGCACGCCTACTCCCGAGTTTGCCGAAGAGAACTTGCACCTCTTCAGGTTCGACCGCGAGGAGATCCGTGCGAAGTTCGCCCTCCTCTCGCCGGCTGCGGAGCCGATCCAGCGGCGGGTTTTGCCCGATTCTTGCCGCGTGGAGCCGACGTTCTGCTTCTTCTGTTCCGATTTCTGTGGGGACGTCGAATGGGCAAGCCTTATTCCATTGCAAATTCAGTAATCGGGCCGGGAAGATCGCGCACATAAAACAGCTCCTCGGACCCGCGGCACGATCGACGAAATCTAGGACCTTCGGTGCCACATCCATCTCCCCGCCCATGCCTTCTTCTCGCTCTCGCCGCCTTCTCCGCATGCCGCTTGAGGAGTGATCGCGTCCATCCCAGGTTTTGATATCCATGCGGAAGATGACAGACCACAGATCTCCGAGCGTAGCCTGATCCAGGGGGGAGCCTTGACTGTTCGAGTTTTGTTTCCGGGCGGGGTTTTGATATTGTGTTTCAACGTTCGCAACCACGGGTTGTCATCTTGTCAACGCGACGACGTCCTAGACGCTATCTCCTCGGACCTCCCCTTGGCCTCTGCGGGCCCCCATCAAAGTTTTTGTCATCGTAGGTGGGGATTTCAACTTCTCAGAGGACCCCTCCGCGACGCTAGATGTGCTCGGGTCTCTGGACACGTCCAGTACCTTTGGTAATCTCGGGTCAGACGGACAGGCTTGGAATCGCGTTCTGGGGCAGATGACCGAAATTCAGATCAGAGACCAAACGTGCCAATGCGTCGTCAACGGGACCTTGAAGAAGCTGGATAGGATTAGTGTCTACGCGCCTGGCTGGCATTTCACGCAGATGCGCGCCGGCGGCAGGGCGCGCGGCTTTCCGGAAGTACCCAGCCACGCGCAGCATCAACCAGGGCATCTTTCGGAGACCCGAGTACCATCAGTTTATCCGGAAAGTAGTGGACCAGATCGACGAATCAGACCTCGCCCCTCTTCGGCCCCCCTTCCGCAAAGAACTCGTGCTCAAAGCCGCCCGACGCGCTCGAGATCGCATTCTTAGGGAAGAACAAAACGAACCCCTTCGCGAAATCCATCGCCGTTCGAACGATCGCCCGCGGTTTGTGGTCGCAGAACGCGCCGCTAGCCCAGAGGACCAGAGAGTCTCACCCGTTCGGAGAGCACTTTCTGGCTCTTGACGCGATGGCCCAGACGGCCGCGCTCAGGGACCCGATTCTGTTCACGCCATTAGCCGCAGTGGCGCGCTTCCCCACGTTTGCCCGCGCCCAGACTGGGGCGCGACAAAGATTGCAACAGGACCCCGCCCCCCCCCCCCCCCCCCCCCCCCCGATGCTATCCGCAATGAACTGAAGAAGCGCCTGAGCAGCCGCATCGCGAGATCCCGATTGCGGGCGCCATTCGGTCGCGAGCGTCCTCTCCAAGGCATGCGCTTGGAAAACAGCGACCAGGAATGTCCAGCTGCTCGAGCGGATCCTGTTGGCATGCCCTCTTCGCCAATCTGAGCACTGGGGACAGGCTTTCTCGGAGAACAAGGTGGGCCGCCAGGCCGCCTTCCAGTGCGCGCGCAGGTTTTAGCCCGAGGTCGATCATCCTGGTTTGCCGCCCCCCGAAGAAAAAGACATCCAGCGTTTCCTGGGCCAGATCGCCCCGAGCGCCCCAGGACCGGACCCATTGCCGTGCCATGCTTGGAAGTGCTACCCGAAAGGATCCCAGCTTTTGGACGATGTGCTGTCCTGGGCACTGGCGGGCAAACCACTGCCTGTCGGTTTCAACATCACGCTGGGCGCATTCCCGGCGAAGGGCGACGAGCCTGGCGACGAGGATTCGGTGATCCGAGATGCATCTGCCACCCGGCCTCTAGGATTCAAAAACACGGACTGCAAGATCCTGACCTCGGTTTGAATCAAGCCCTTAACCAGAGCCCTTCCTGGATTTATCGCCAAGGCCCAGAAGTGCTCCAGCCCGATCGGGAATTTCGGCATGAACGTCATCGAACTAGATGCGCAGGCTCGGATCACCTCGATGCTCCCTGATTCAACTTCCAGGCTTCCAGCGCTGGTTTCGTTCGACTGCGGGCGGGCGTTCCCGTCAATTGGCCAGGTCTGGATCTTTCTCATGTTCCAAACGTTGAACATCCCTGCCCCTCTCCTCGCGGTCTCGCGTGCGATATACCAGTCAGTTCTATGCTGCGGGCAGATCGGGAACGAGTGCCGATGACAGCACACGGCCATGTCAGACATCTTGCAAGGGTGCCCAGCCTGTGGATGTCTCTATGCGATCGCGTCCCACCCCTTTCGTCGAGCACTTCGATTCGCCGGTCGAAACGCGGGTTAGGCCTGAGTAGACCGTGCGCCGATGATGTAGGTAGTGCCATCCATCAATTCAAAGTTTCGAGGCAACGATACACGGTCTTCTGGGCGTCTCGGCGGGTGGCTAACCCAGAGCTTAAACGCAGAAAATGTAAAGTAGCGCCGTTGGCTGGTCCGTTTTCTGAGCCCCTGGCAGATCGGTGCCGACTTTGGATTCGGAGCAACTTGCCCGAATGGGCGGAGCTCCAAGTCGTCCCTCGGGATTTTCAGGGGCCTTGCGATGGCTCCTTCCCCGTGGGATGCCCCTGTCGCGAAACGGGCTCCACGTAGTCCGGCAATCGTTTATAATGGTGCGCCTGCCCCCTTTACCGCGTACCAGTATATTTCGCGTGCTCTCAGCGGTTTGGGGTGCGTCGCGCAGTTCGTGCCTCTTCCCCCAGAAGCGCTTGCCCGCGAGCACGCTCTGCCGGCCGCATGTTCAGGCTCCCTCACTGCGCCGTTTCGCCTCGTGATTTCGTCTCGCTTAGCCCCTAGGGAGGCCCCCGCAGAAGGGGCGCTTTGGTTTTGTCCTTAGCGTCGCTGATTCGAGCGTCAGTGAGCACGTTCCCTGCACGGCGGCAAGAATGCGATGCGCCCTCGGCGGCTGGAGTGCGTCTATCGCTCTTGGAGGTGGTAGAAGGCCACATGAGCCCCCGTTTCTGGGCTGAGCCCCCAATCGTGCAAACCCCTTTTGCAGCGTCGCAAGGATTTCCAGGCACCCGATACAGTAACGCGGGACAGGCAGCCCTGGCAGCTGCGAGTCAGGCCATACTCGAGGGCAAGAAGATTCAGGGAGCTGCTGCCGCAACTTTGTCCTCCTCCCTGTTCCCTCCCGACCTCGCTTCGACGTTCCTCCGTCGCCTTTCCCGCCCCCTTTATGAATGTCGAGCTCGCCCGCCCGTTCGCCCGCGGCTACCCTGCCCCAGTCGCTATCGAAGATGCATTGCTGTGTATCCCCCAGCTCCGTGCTTCCGTTTCCGCAATTGGGCTTCCCGTTCTCCCTCCTCATCCTCCGTCGCAGAACCCGCAGCGTCCAGTGCAGCAAGAGCCAGCGGGACACCGAATTCCGCCGGGCGCCGTGCTCTCTCGCCGCGTCGCGGGTGATCGACTTGGCCCCGAGGTACGAGCGCAGGAGGAGGAGGAGGAGGAAGAGGGGGAGGAGGAGGAGGAGGAGGAGGAGGAGGAGGAGGAGGAGCAGGAGGAGGAGGAGGAGAGGAGGAGGAGGAGGAGGAGGAGGAGGAGGAGAGCAGGAGGAGGAGGAGGAGAAGGAGGAGGAGGAGGAGGGCATGAGGAAAAGGAATGATGATGGAGGGGAGGAGGAAGGAGGGGGAGTTGGGGAGGGAGGAGGAGAAAAGGAGGAGGAGGAGGAGGAGGAGGAGGAGGAGGAGGAGGCGGAGGAGGAGGAGGAGGTTGAGGTTGAGGAGGAGAAGAGGATGAGGAGGAGGTTCAGGAGGGGAAGAGGAGGAGGAGGGGAGGAGGAGGAGGAGGAGAGGAGGAGGAGGAGGAGGAGGAGGAGGAGGGAGGAGGAGGAGGAGGAGGAAAGAGGAGGAGGAGGAGAGAGGAGGAAAGAGGAGGAGGAGGAGGAGGAGGAGGAGGAGGAGGAGGAGGAGGAGGAGGAGGAGAAATCCTCGTCGTTTCGTCGGTCGTCCCTTCGCCCTGCCGCTCGGCTCCCCCGCGGTGCCCAACAAAAGGTCGTCATCGTCGTCCTCCTCCGCCGGCGCCTCCCCTCGAGGCGGCCATCGTCCTGGAGACGGTGCGGGGCGAGGAACGCCTCGGCTCCCTGTCCGCAAAGGACCCGGGCCAGCGGGGGGCAGAGTCGCCACTTCCCTCGGGCGTTGCGTAATGGGAGGGGCGATCAATTATTGCTCCCCCTCCTCCTCCTCCTCCTCCTCCTCTCCTCCTCCTACCTCCTCCTCCTCCTCCCTGCTCCCCCTGCTCCTGTTGCTGCTGCTGCTGCTGCTGCTGCTGCTGCTGCTGCTCCTCCTCCTCCTCCTCCTCCTCCTCCTCCTCCTCCTCCTCCGGGGAGGTGAGGCAAGGTGCACCTCTCGTTCCCAAAAGAGGCCCTGAACAGGCCCCCTGGGGCCCCAAAAGGAGTTCGAAAGGTTCGTGCTTTTCCCCTCCCCCATCGAACGCCCAACTCCTCCCCCTCCCCATTCCCCACCAACCGAGGGGCCAGGCGGGCTCTGGCTCGTCTTTTAACGATGAAGCAAGTTGCATGAGTATCGATCGGCGGCGAAATCCAATCCTTACACTCGCCGACCGACGATTCAGGCAACTCGATGGGCGGCGGGGGTAGGGTTCGGAATTCGTCGAACGCGTGGCGAAAACCGAATCCTTGCACCGCCTCCCATCGATTCTGGATGAGAGGCGGAGGTAGGGTTCGAAGGCGGCTGGGGGATCAATTCTCGGAGATCCTTGCGGGTTTCTTTTATTGGCGCTGGATGGCCCCTCCTGGCGCGCGGAGCGCTCCCGGGAGCCCAGCGGCGATCCTGGATATCCGCGCGGGACTACGAAAGTTTGTGTTCATGCCGGTGTTATTCCCCCTATTCCGCGAGTCCGCCCAGGGCGGCTAGCCGGCCCGCTGGCCACTGGGGGCGTGGAAACCGCAGCCTCGGTACAGACGGCTTCTGTGCCGAGGCTGCGGTTTCCACGCCCCCAATGGGGCGCGCCGGGTTGTTCTCGGACCTCTTCGGGCCCCCTCGTGGCGGCCAGTGTTGTTCTCCCCCCCTCTCTCCGCCAACTGCTGCTGCTAGGCCCACTGCTGCTTCGAAGTCTCCCACGAACCTACTCGCGCCATCGCCTGTGAGTTTGGGTCACAGAGCGTTTGACGGGAAACATGTTTCTCTGAAAAAAGTAAGCCCAACTTCGTGGCACCTATTGTTGGGGCACCGCTTCCACGAGCAGTAGGCTGCAGATCAGCCTTGGTGCGTTGGTCATTGGAGCTCTACGTCCGCTCACAAAGTTTTCATACGATCGCAAGAGTTCAGCGAGCCAGCCCTGCGAGAGCCTAGTGATGAAAAAGAGCCGCCCCCTTCTGTGTAACAGCAGCACGAAATTACGCTTCTGGCGACTATGTTTAGAACGTCCCATGCGAGAGCCCCATTTTGAAAAGACGACGCCGTCCATGCGTGTAGGTGTTACATGCGGTACATATGTTCAAGCTGTTGGTCAGTAAAATGAGGAGGTCTCAAGCGATAGCCGCATCTCGAAAAGAAGCTGTCCTTCCTCCTTGGATATTGCTTCGGCAGATTATGGCGAGTGTGGGCGGCGCTGAGGCGAGAGCCCCATTTTGACAGTGATCATGACTTCCAGTCTCGTACCCCTTGCAGCCTGCTCCGACGAATCTGCGCGGTCCGATTTGGAGAAGGACGCCCCCCAAGCGCTACAGTTCCCCCAAGCAGTGCTTGCACTGAGGGATCCTCACTTCCGTTCTGAGGAACTTCGGGAGGGCAAGAACCACACACAGACACCATTAATCGTCGATTCCAAGGAAAATATTTGAAGATGTGGGAAGGGGGGGAAGACGAAAACCCCACACATATGTGAAAATGTGGGGAATCTTTCTATGTGTGTATTTATGTATTCGTGTGTCCTTGGGCCCCTTCACAGCTGGGCCCGTGCGCCTCCCCGGCGGCCCCGTTCCCGTCCGCCGCCGCCCGCCGCTCTTCCCAGCAGAGGGCCTGTCCGCCGTCCTGCCGGCCCCTCCTCCCTTCTCCCTCCTCCTCCCTCCTCCTCCCTCCCTCCCTCCTCCCTCCTCCTCCCTCCTCCTCCTCCTCCTCCTCCTCCTCCTCCTCCTCCGTTCGTTCCCGCCCGTCGCCACAACGCCGTTGCAACCCCCCTCCCGTTGCCTTGCAATCGCATTGCCGTGCAATCGCACTGCACCGCGCTGCACTGCGATCGCAGCGCGCTGCAATCGCACCGCACTTCGTGGCCCCGGATTGCGTTGCTTGGCATTGATCTGCGCTGCCCTGCCTTGCTTTGCACTGCACTGCGCCGCGTTACATTACCTTGCACTGGTTTGCATTGCGTTGCAGTGCTTGGCTTTGGCGTTACACTGCCTCGCATGGTGTTACACTGCGTTGCAGTGCGTTGCGTCGCATTGCGCTGCTGCGGATTGCTTGACATCGTTTTGCGTTGTTTTGCATTGTTGCATTGCCTTTCGCCGCTTTGCGGTGCTTTGCTTTTCATTGAGACGCATTGTTTGCCATTCCGTGCCAGTGGGTTTCATTAGTATTGTTGATTGGTTTGCATTGATGTTGCATTGAATTGCGTCGCCCTCCAAGCGCATCGCATTGCCTTGCATTGCATTGCAAATGCATTGCTTGGCATTGTTTGGCATTGCTATGCCATTCTTCGTATTGCACTTCTTTGCATTGCGTCGTATTGCTTTGCATTACACGGCATTGCTTGGCATTGCTTTGTACTGTGTCGCATTGATTCGAATTGCGTCGCACTGCAATCGCATTGCATCGCATTGCAATCGCATTGCGCTGCTTTGCATTGCTTTGAATTGCTTTGCATTGTATTGCATTGCGTTGCGCTGCTTGGATTGCGTTGCATTGTTTTGTGTTGCGGTGCATGGTGTCGCGTTGCTTGGATTGCTTTGCGTTGCATTGCGTTGCATGTCATTGCTTTCGTTGCATTACGTTTTTGGGGGATTGCTTTGCTTCGCGCTGCATTGCGTTACAATGTTTTGCATTGTTGTACGCCACATAGATAGCACCACACGGATTGCAACACCTACATTGATTGTACCAGTTGCACTGCGTAGATTGCGAGAGCCCCATTTTGAAAGGGAGCCGCGATTCATCCTTGTGATAGTTTAAGCTTTCAAGGCAAATATGCGCGGCACCAAGGCGATGACACATTCTGAAAAGGTGGAGCGTGTTCCTCTATTGCTTGGGGCATAGTGGGCATTATAGCCCCCGGCGCCCCCCCTATATAACGTAACGCTCCCCCCCCTTCCAGTGCGTCCCATGCACTGCCGCCGTGTGCATGGGGATCCGCATAGGCGTCCGAATAGGAATCCGCATAGGGGTCCGGTTGCAGTCACCGTCGTCGTCGTCGTCGTCGTTGTCGTCGTCGTCGTCGTCGTCGTGGTCGTCGTCATTGTCGCTCGTCGCTCGTCGCTCGTCCCTCGTCGTCGTGCGCGCGGACGCGGATGGAGCCTGCTCCTTGTTCCAGGCCGATGACGGCCGTCATTCGGGGGGGGGCGGAGGGGGCCGATGACGTGGCGTTTCGCACCGCTAGCGTACAGGAGTGCTCAGGAATGACCCGGGACGGATAGCAGCAGCATGTATGTGGCGATTTGCACCACAGCGCCTGTGTACACCACAGTGCCTGCGTGCACCACAGCGCCTGCGTACACCACACCCCCTATGTACACCACAGCAGCCGCGTGCAACACAGCGCCAGTGTGTGTCACAGTCCTTGCGAGCACCACAGCGCTTGTGTACACTACAGCGCTTGTTTACACCACATCAACAGTACGCAACGCAGCACCAGTGTACACCACAATGCCCTCGTGCACTACAGCGCCTGTGTACACCCCGGCGCCTGCGTGCTCCGGAGCAGCCGTGCGCAACAGAGCATCATTGTTGCATATAGAATGGCATAAGGAATCCGCATGACAAACTGGAGCGCCAGTGGATCCCACTGAGAACCATCGTTTATATAGGATTCGGGGAAAAAAGCCGTATGGAAAATGGAGCGCCACTGGAATCGGCAAGTCTTCCCGAGTCTTTCCGCATCATCCTAACTCCTCCCATCTGCGTCCATGAGCCTCCAGCAAAATTGGCCGTCCGAGAACCACATGGATTGATTCAATCGACCATTCAGCGTTTCACGATGAGGTGCGCACGTGCGCTGCAGCGCCGACCCGCACGACAGGGGGGACAGGTGAGCGAGGCGGAGGAGGAGGAGGAGGAGGAAAAGGAGGTGGAGGTGGAGCACAAGGGAGGAAGGAAGAACGTCGCATTCTATTATCAGCACTTTAGCTGTCCGTAGCAGATCCTCACCTACATGTTCCTTCTACATGTCCTGTGCACGCAGGCGCTGTGGTGTACACCATCGCTGCGTTGCACGCGGATGCTGTGGTGTAGACAAGCGCTGTTGTGTGCATGGGCGCTGCGGTGCACGCAGGCACTGTGGTGCACACAAGCGCTGTGTTGCACATGGTTGCTGCGGTGTACACACTCGCCGTGGTTTACATGCACGCAAGCATTGTGGTGTACACAGGCGCTGCGTTGCACACGGCTGTCGCGGTGTACGCAGGCGCTGTGGCGCACAGGCGCGCTGTGGTGCACGCGAGCACTGTGGTGTACACGGGCGCTGTGGGGCGGATCGCCGCCTACATGCTGCTCCTCGTTGGCCCCGGTCAGCCGTAGGCAGTCCTGGACGCCGCCGGCGCGGAACGTGACGTGATTCGCGGGGTGGGGCGGGGCCGATGACGGCTTCTATTCCGGACTATCAAAGAACGGGCCCGTGTGGTGCTGGAGCCACACGGCGGGGGGGGTCCGTTACGTGAAATCCCCCCGCCCCCCCGCCCTTATAACACCAATTAGCGCCAAAAATAAAGACACGCGCTCGTGCCGCCTTCCATCCGTGTAACGGTTTGACATTCGTCCCTTGGGAATACAGTCGGGCCGCTGAATAAGGAACACATGCTACAAAAGGGGTTCGGTCATTCCTTCGCTTTGCTTGCGTTCCTCCCCTTTTTTGGCGGGGAGACCCCCCTGATCTTTTGGGCCTCGTTGTTTATCAATCGTTCCTTATGTCAGCGGCCCGATTGTAGTGTGGAGGCGGAAACGGTGGAGGGTAGGACGAAAAGGTGGAGGAAGAGGAGGGGGGGATGTGGAAAGGGTGGGGGGGGGGAAGGAGGGGGGAAAGGGCGGAAGAGAAGTGGGGAGGAGGGAGGGACTGGTAGAAGAGGAGGGGGGGAGGAAAAGGAGAGGGGGAGGGGGCGTGGGGGGAGGAGGGCGGGAGGAAGGGCGGCGCAGGAAGGGGTGGAGGGGGGCAGCAGCGGCGGAAGATGAGGAGGCACGGGGCCGAGTCTCACCGTCCCTGCGTTTCGGTTGCCCCGCGAGGAGGCGCACGGGGAGGAGCCCGAGATGGAGACCGCGCCCAGAGGGGGGGGATCGCGGCCCGAGCTCGCGACGCAGGCGGCCCACGGCCCCCCCGAGGGGCCCCCTCGAAGGCGGTGCGCGACTCGAGGTCCGAGGCTCGAAGATCCGGGATCTTCGCCCCGACCCCCGCATCCCCTGGCGCTTCGCCCTGCGGAGGAGGAGGAGGAGGAGGAGGAGGAGGAGGAGGAGGAGGAGGGTCCGTAGCCATTTTGGCTCAAGGGGCCTTCTCCTTAACTTCCAACCTCGCTCGAGCAGTTGAGGCGTGTGAAAAGAGATACCTTGAGACTCTCTGGCCAGGGGCTCGCGACCCCCAGCCCATTTCTTTCACGATTACTCTCCCCCCTCGGCAGCGATGGGGAAACAGCAGCAGAAAGGTTTCCAGGTGTGCCCGCATGCTTCTTGTGGCTATCGCTGGAATTGGAAGAAGCATACTCAGTGTTGGCAGTGTGGGAAAGCTCTCAGGCCTGCAGCCAATGATTGGCCCAAACCAGCCTTGGGAGCCTGGGCTTACGGCCCACCTCGCGCCCGCACGCCAGGTGGGAGCCCCTTCACCATGGTGGGCAACATGGCGGCCGCTGGCACGCCGCCAGGCGTTTGGCAGGCAGGAGGCACGTCGCTTCCAGCCACCTCGCCGTTCGCGCCCACCACGGAGCAGCTGCTGGAGGCACTCAAGCAACGACATCCAGAAGCAGGAGCTGAACTTCAAGCCTTTGAAGCCAAGGCAGCCCCTCCAGTGCAGCAGGTGGACAAACCCAAGCTACGGCCAGAACTCCAGCGAGAACATGATCTCAATCAGGCTGGGGTACAAGCGCGCAAGACAGCGGAAGCTCTTGATCGTGCAATCCGATATGAAGCAGAATGCCGTGAATACCTTGCCAAAGCGGAATCAGACACACGTGACAAAGCCAGAGTTGCAACAGAGGCGGCAGCTCGGCACCAAGCTCTTCTCCAGGCGAATGTCGACCCCAAGGTGCTGCAGCAGACCGCCCCCATCAACCTGTCCAAGTTGCTCAGCGCCACGGAGGAGACCGAGCTCCTGGAGATTCTCAAGTTCGAGGACGGCGCCAGCTTCGACACGTCGGAGTTGGAACTATCGCCAGAAGAACTGCAGCAATGGAAAGAGCATAAAGAGTCATTGGCAAAAGAAGTATCCAAACTTATCTGCGCCGCGGTGGGACCCTCGGCTAAGACACTCTTGGAAAGGAAGCAACAGTTTGAAGAATACAAGTCAAGGATGGCACTCAAAAGGCGACGTACCAATGAAGGTGGAGCACGAGCTGGTGGCGGAGGTGATGCTGAATCACAAGAGGCTGGAGGTACTGCGGCGGCGGAATCCAGGGGCGAGGCGACTAGCTCGGGTTCTGGTGCAGCAACATCCTCGGCGACGCAAGATGCAACAAATCCATCAGCCACGGCACCGTCTCAGCCACATGTTTCTGATGAACAAATCCAGGCCACCCTTGAGGCGGCAAAGCAGAAGTTCGCGCAGTCTCAGGCTTCCCCAACGGGGCTTTAGCCAAGGACGTGTACCACATGCTCAGCAACGCGGCGGCGCTGGGCAGAAGTTCTTTTTCTATTTCGCCAACTACACCAAGTGGAACGAGCGTGCCATGGCCTATTTAGCAGCAGAGCATATGCAAGATGTTTTGCTCCACATGGGTGCCGAAACTCATTTGAGAGGAGGGGCGCTGTTGCAGGCGCAGAAGAAACTCAAGCGCGCGGGGTGGTTGTCCACCTCGGCCCCTGCTGTCCCCACAGCCAAAGAAGGGACGCTTGGGCATGGCGGGGTCTGGGTTCTCTCGAGGACCACCATCCACTCCCAGGTCCTCTACCCCTGTAAGATCGGCCCAGATGGTAAAGAACAGTTTTTCGGCACGCAGTGGGTAGGCAGGACAGTCAGGTTTAAAGGACTGGATGTGACTTTTGTTTCAGCTTATTTGAATGACTCCGAGGGGGCTGTCGGCACCAACGGCCTTATTTTAGAAGAGCTAGCTGGATATTTACTCTCTGTGGCTAAGCACTACATAGTCATGGCGGACTGGAACATGACTCCTGAGGAGCTCTGGGAGTCTGGGTGGCCTTCATTTGTTCGGGGACACATCGCTGTACCACCTGGCGAATTTACAAATTCTGGAGGCGCTGGAAGAATCCTGGACTTCGGAGTCGTCTCGGAACATCTAGCTTCCTTGGTCAAGCTTTCTCTGGATCAGAAGGGACCTTGGGCGCCACATCTGGGAATTTTTGGCGAGTTGGACCTGACTCAGAACATCCTGGAAGGCCGCATCCTGGTACCTGTCACCCCAATCCTACCGTACGTATATGGACCCGACCAGCCCTGGGAGATGTTTCAGCAGCAGAATGACGGCATCGAGATGCCGCAGCATTATCATTTTTGGCCTGAGGCGACCTCAGGCGACCTCACCAGGTTGTACGCGAGCTTCTCCATGCAGGCAGAGGCCTTTTTGCTGAATCGAGCGGGAAGAGAAGTAGGACCCCACAGGAGAGGTATGTGCCCTGAGGTCAAAGTTCAAAACCTGATCGCTGCAAAACCGCCTGGACATTTTGGACGCTCTCCTGAAGTGTGTTTCTGGGGAGGTATTCGATCGAGGTTTCAGGAGCTGTTTACTTTGGCTGATAAGAGCACGAGCACTACTGTACAGAATCACCGCACGGCTATACACAAACAGATTGAAGCATGGAGTACCGAGGCACAGGTAGCACAATACTTTACAGCTGTTCCAGAATCGGCTAGGAATGCAGGCGACAAGATCAGTGCCGCCTTGATATCGCCTCCCTCGACCAAGGAGGACATCCGCGAAGTTTTAAATGCAGCTAAAGAAGTTCTTGCTAAGGTCTCCATCGTGGCCATGAAAGAAAGTACAGCGGGATTTCGGAAGTTTCTTAGTACCAGCTTGTCCTCGGGAGCTAGTTGGGCCCATCAGTTTTCCAGGACGTGGCAGGTGGAGGAGCCAAGCCTAGCCATCGAGAAGGACGAAGGAGGAAATGAGGTAATTGAGCCAATTGAGATGATGAAGGTGAAGGCGGAAAGGTGGTCGAGACTTTGGGGAGGAACGATTGGAGGACCTAAGCAACCTTTTCCTTTTTGGCTTCAGCGCCTTCGTGAAGCCGCTCATGCGCAGCAGGAAGAGCGACCTTTGCCAGATCTCACGGTTGCAGACCTGCGGCATGGCATGCGATATTTTAAGGATCATGCGGGCCTTGGAGCTGACCCGTGGAACCCTAGACAGTGGCTCACGCTACCAGAGCAGGGCCAAGAGCAGTTGTTGGAATTTTTCGTTGCAGTGGAGACCCAACTGAAATGGCCAGTGCAAATATTGGTCAACGTCGTCGCCCTCACCCCGAAACCGCCGCCAGGAGGAGATCGACCGATTACGTTGACCCCAGGGCCCTATCGTTTATGGAGTGCGATGCGCAAGCAAGCAATAGTTACATGGGAACGTAGCAAAGCGGGTTTCTGGGATGCAGCGGTAAAAGGAAGCAGCCCTCTACGAGCAGCGGTTTTACGGCAACTGAAAGCAGAAACGTGTGGACTTTTGAATATTAGTTGGGTGCAGCTTCTGTGGGACGCAGAGAAGTTTTATGATCTTATCCAGGGCGAACAACTGTCAGTCTTAGCTGGAAATCTGGATTACCCCCTTGTGCCCTTTTACCTTGCCATGTTGCAGCACATGGCAGATAGGTGGCTCGCGGTTGGCACTATGCTCTCAGACAGCATCCAGGTCAACCATTCGATTATTGCTGGTTGCATGCAAAGCGCAGCCTGGTCCAGAATTTATCTGTGGGACATGTTAGACAATATCCATCGATCGCATCCTCCTCCTCGGAATTCCATCGGCAGCTGGGTCGACGACTTGGCGCAACTCAACATAGGCACGGCAGAAGGAGTAGTGGACCAGGCTACGCAAGTGGCCATTCAGCTCACGACGGGCATGTACAGCAAAGGATTGCGAATTTCAAAGAAATCAGTTGGCCTGGCGAGTTCTCCGTCGGTGCGTGTGGCATTGCGGAAGCGTATTAAGGAGTTGCAGTTACCTATTAAAGTGGAGCTCTCGGCGCGTGATCTTGGAGTGGATGTAGCTACTGCTTCCAGGACACAAGGGACCATCAAAGGTAGACACCAGAAGGGAGTCAAACGAGCTGTTGCTATTCGAGTCCTGGGCAAAAGCGTGAAGGCGGCCAAAAAGCTAGCCAACACTGGCTACAAGCCGCAGGTGTCCTGGGGAGCCGTTGCCATGGGCTTAGCGCCCACGAATCTGAGGAAGCTGCGGGCGAAAGTCTCAGCCATGTGCGGTAGTAAGTGGGCAGGTGGTTGTGCTACCACTGCCATTAGGATTAGTCTTGGGAAACGCAGTGACCCCCTTTTTTGGGGACCTCTTGAACTTTTGCAGGCCTGGCAGGAACATCTCCCTAGGATCCCCGAGTGGCGTGCCGCCATCGACAAAGCCTGGGACGAGTCCTTGGCCAAGTTGAGGGAGTCGGAGCATCGCTGGCTGCAGGTCAAGGGGCACATGGCGGCAGTGCAAGCCACTCTTTTAGATATGAATTGGATTCCCAACACACCAGGGGAATGGACCATTCCTTGTGGGCTCAGGTTTAGTTTTGAAGAAGCAGAGGGCCTCGACAGGCTCGACTTTGAAGTAGGATCTTCCCTGGAACAGGGTATTTGGGCCCAAGCCAGCCAGCATTTCTCGGGCTCGGGGGTTGAGTACGGGGTGGACTTAACTGTGACTTGGGCCCATTTGAAGTTTTTGCGCAATAAAGGCTTAAGCCATAGGGCTGCCATTCTGGAGATGATTTCCCAAGGGGCCTTGTGGCCCAACCAGCGACGTTTCGAGAACACAGGAATAGGCAGCACGGCATGTCCTAGATGCGGCGCACCTAATGAAACGTTATATCATCAGCTTTGGGAATGCCCCTTCAATAGAGACATTCGCGATTTAGAAGAAGACAACCGCCTCTGCGAGCAA